TTCATTAAGTAATGACCTTACATAAAAGGCAATACATTTTTTACCACACATTTTTAGGTACCTTTTAGACACATTTTTAACAAACGTTTTACCTTTTTAACACCTTATTTATTAAATTTTTATCACCTTTTAATGATTTTGGGAGCTTGCATGATTATGAATTTATATCTGAAACATACAAAATAAACACTTACACACTAGACTACACTAAGCATTAATATTTAAAAACACATAACCTCTTAACTGTAGTAGAGGCCCTGTTTTTAGACAGCAATTTTAATGTCATTGTTTCAAGAGGTCTGTAAAATTGCATTGTAATGTAATTTAACAATGACAGTGACTAAAAAGCAATAGCTGGTCATGGATGGATTAATGAACAGGCCTACCAGGCACAGTACTGGTGGCCCAAAGGGTCAAAATTCAATTAGAATTAAAATTCAATAAAAGGATTTTACATTCATTTCTATATTGTTCTGAATCAGTGTCACCTCCTGGTCATAAGGTCTCTGATCTGACATCCAAACTATCATGTCTGTCTCTTACAGTAAACATTTTACAGATGACCACTTTCAAAAGACAGTTAGACTAAAAACAAAAAAAAACATTGATGCTGCACTTTTTTCCATTAAATTTGAGCATAAATTGTACTCAAATCCATGTATTAATACCACAATGAAAACATATTTCCTTAAATGTTATACAGAATGCTACAGTTTATCTGATCATCTTTGGAGAACAGGCTTGTTGTAAGAATAGACCTGTGTTATAATATTTGACAAATGAAAGTATGGAAACCCTTTGACATGCAGGAGGTGTGACAACGCTCTGATTGCTTGTTTCTCTGGCAGCTGAAACATTGCAGGGTTGTGCTGCTCTCTGGTGGTAACAGAAGGAAAGACAGTTTAAGGTTAAAGATTCAGTGCACTGCTTGGTAAATAAATCCCAATTTGTGGTAGATATTGGGTTGCAGTGTTTTTTCATCCTCACACTTTTAAGTAAAAAGTTTAAGTTTAAGTAGTTTTATTGTTTTATGTTTCAAGCCTGATAAACATCCACAAATCAGATCCCAAATATTAAATAAATGTGGATAAAGATACGAAGCTGGCTTCATTACTGAAAATGTCTGTTTCTCTTTTCATGAGAATTTTATCAATTAATTGTACATGTACTGACTTTAAAAAATGGAAAAACATAATAACATAAACATAATAATTCCCGTCATTCACAGCTGAAATAACTGTTATGATCCTAAAGTTGTTGTCCACTGTGATACTCGGTTGCACACACTGTCACATCTAAAAATGTACGATAGCCCTTAAATGATAGTCTTGTTGACAACAGCTATAGCAGCTGAGGTCTTTAATGCCAACCGGTCGCTGTTTTATGGACACAGAAGAAGAGGGGCGTTTAATCACAGTAAAGTGCAAACAGCATCAGGCAACACATACAGAAGAACAGAACTCATGAGATACAAGAAAAATCAACAGTAACAAAAGAAGAGCAAAATACAAGAGAACCAACCAAAAGACTCTGATGAACCCACACTCACCCAACAGAAACATGGACTGATCTCACTGCCCGATGAAGCAGTCATTTTGTTTCACAGATCATGACCAAAGTAACTAGCGGCACCCTCACCAGATCTGGATCTTATTCTAGGTATACAGGGAACTCTCCACCTGACGGCCTCAGAGCCCTGACTGACTTGAGTCAGTCAACAGCTCAGAAATGCACCATAAACCCAAACCACTACCTTTTCCCACCCACATGGAACAGGTTCTGTTCTGGTTCCTGCACCTAATTGGACCCTTTTTAATTTCGTCTGTATTGGAAGCCGAAAAGTCGGTTCCTAGCTATAGCAATTTTTTCTTGACCTGAAGTGCAAAATGGACAACATAAGTGGGTGTTTTATTCCACAGGGTAAAAAGAAAGGATGCAGTATTGCACTAATTAGTCTCCTCTGTCTTCTTATCATAAATAGTTGCTTCATGCTTTGTCTTTGGGTAAAAACAAATATCTGTAATAACAGAACAAAAGCTGGTCGGTAATCAGTGTCATCCACCATCTTGCTACTGCTGACTACTTCCTTTGTTCATTGTGTTGACACCGTCTGTTGAAGACACGTCTTTGTAACCATTACAATGGTTACAGTGGTTACTGGTGGAAACACAGACTGGTTCACTAGATAGCACCAAGGTTCCAAAAATCCTGAGCAGAGCCAGTTTAAGAACCAGAGCTAATTTGGTGGAAAAGGGGTGTAAGTGTATTAGACTACTGTTACAACTTTAAAACTGATTGTGTCGCACTGAGAGCCTATGAAGTCTTAAATACTGAAACTACAGTATATGTTTGGCTTTGTGTATACATGTAGCCTCAGTCAGACAAATGTATGAACCTGTTACTTAGAATCATTCAGCTAGAGATTTAAATCCTGATATGATATGCTTTTTCAAGTAGTTAAAAGCTGGTTGTGTTACTGACATGACTTTCAGTGTAAAGATCAGAGTCCAATATGACTCAGAGGTTCCTGGTTTCCTTTTTATATCTTCTACTAGTATCTCAGTGTTTATTTCAATGTAAAACATATCCAGAGTCCAGTGACTGATGTGACTGAGCAGCTTGTTTATTGGACTCAGGTGACCAGAGGAGATGAATGAGCAGTTGTGTGTTTTCACCATATGACTGACAGCAAGGATTATGTGTCCTTGTCCAACTTCTGTGTAAATACTGAATGTTCAGGTAATATTAATATTAGCTACTGCAACTATAGTCACAACCAAAAGAGACAAATCTATGACAAGTGGGAACTTTATTGAAAAGCAATACATTTAAATCTGTTATTCATTCATAGAAAATACAAAGGTACCATCATCAGGCCCTGCAGCTGGCTGTGCCGTCAATACTCTGCTGAGCCCTCTGACAGGAGACACCATTTTCTAAACCTGACTGATGTATCTTTAAGCTGCCTTTAAATCCTTCAATCATCCAAGCAGAGTCATTACTCTGCTGCTTTATATCTACATGGTATCTGCTCAGGCTAAACTACAGTGGCTGGCCTCACTGGCTTGATGGAAAACTTCATGAGTGACATGTCCTGCTCAGTTGTCCAACCACCATCACTGTCTTTTAAAAAACAGACAAGCAACACATTGTTGCATTAATGTAAATTGATTAATAAATATATAATACAATAAACATTAAACATACATTTACAATGTGAAATAAAACGATTACATTTAAATATCAAACACATAAAGTGTACTTCTTCACTTTTACAGCAGGAAGCTTTCTTTCAGTCTCTTTTAGTTCTGTGAAGCTTTATAATATGACACATATCAAAGTGTTCACTTTGTTTTTCACAATCAGGTGTCTGGATTCAGTCTCAGACAGAGCTCGTAGTTGTTGTCAGGAGCTGTAAGGTCAGAAACAAAATTTCAATGTGAAATTCCTGAAGTCTCATCTTTCTCTGAACATTTAGAAAAAATAAATGCAGGAAACAGTCTTGGAAAAAAAAAATCATCTGCACAATAACTTGAAACACTTTTTAATCTGCAGCATAAAGTGTGTTTTAGATCAGTTGAAATAGAATAAAAGTANAACCTGGCAAATGCAAATGTTGCAAACTCTTTCAAACCTCTGTCTTTTTAGCCCAATTGAGTGGGTGACAGCTTTCAGCACGTGCAGAGCATATGTGTGACACTGCGGACATTTGAATGTTCATCCAAGTCGTCTCTTTAAACAAACAGCAAAAGCTCTGTCCAAGTAGCTGACAATGCTCTCCCTGTTGAACGACAGAAGTAAACTTTGGAGTAGTACCCAGCTGTAATCTGTTTCAACCTGATGTACTCTCAGTTTTGTGTAACTGCAGTCAAAGTTGTATGCAATATCAAACTAAAAACGTTAATAAGCGCAAATAAATAAGTTTCAACCATAAAATTTGATCAGGTTTTGTACTTTGTCCACTTTTGTGTCAGGATTGGCTGCAGACTGACTTGGCAGAGATGGCTGCCATCTTGTTTTTACATAGATTATTGTAATGTGTTCTTGCTACCACTAGATGGCAGATAAATGCGTCCATAAATAGGAACAAGTCTAAGTTAAGCAAATCAAGTATCAGGTGCAGCAATCCTAAAATGTAATACCCTGATATGAGGATGCAGTGTCACAGGAGGTTAACACTAGTAAATGTGTTTATTTCGACAAAGGTAAAGGACAGATGGATGATATGAAATGATACGTACAGTTTGCAGGCTTGAATCCTGAAATACAGATGGGAGATTAGTAAAAATTAAAACATTTAAGATAAACAAAAAATGGACATACCCCATTAATTTCACTGATTTCTGCTCCTATTTTAAAAGGTAAGAGAGTAATTCTCAATACATGAGTTAAACGCCAGAACTGTACAATACTGGTGTTCACAGTGGAGTACAAATGGGTCTTTGATGAGTAAAAATGTCTTTGTTCCTTGTCATGAATGTTCCTTCTCCAGATGAAGAGTCCAGTGATGCAGAGTGTCGGCAGCAGCAGTCCTACAACAACTTCAGTAACAACAGAACATTGACACTTTGTCTCTACACCTGACTGGACCTGATATTGAAGTCACTTACACAGTTGTTTCTGATCACTGCTTATCCAGTTTGGTGATAATGAGAAAGAAGCTAAGCTAGTTATGGCCCTGTCTTTGCAAATGGCAACAAACATTTACCAAATTTTCCCTGATATATCATAACTAAATGATAAAGATATCATAATTGTATCTGGCAGTTGTCACAGAAGAACTCAGCTGCTTTGCTTAATTAAAGTAGCAATAACAGAGTGTTAACATACAAGATACATTAAAAGTCCATCATTTCACTGGCTTGATGGGAAACTTCATGAGTGACATGTCCTGCTCAGTTGTCCAGCCACCATCACTGTCTTTTAAAAAACAGACAAGTAACACATCATTACATAAATGTAAAATTGATTAATGAATACATAATACAATAAACATTAAACATACATTTACAATGTGAAATAAAACGATTACATTTAAATATCAAACACATAAAGTGTACTTCTTCACTTTTACAGCAGGAAGCTTTCTTTCAGTCTCTTTTAGTTCTGTGAAGCTTTATAATATGACACATATCAAAGTGTTCACTTTGTTTTTCACAATCAGGTGTCTGGATTCAGTCTCAGACAGAGCTCGTAGTTGTTGTCAGGAGCTGTAAGGTCAGAAACAAAATGTCTGTGTGAAACTCCTGAAGTCTCATCTTTCTCTGAACATTTAGAAAAAATAAATGCAGGAAACAGTCTTGAAAAAAATCATCTGCACAATAACTTGAAACACTTTTTAATCTGCAGCATAAAGTGTGTTTTAGATCAGTTGAAATAGAATAAAAGTAAGTTTTACTTACGAGGTGGGGGACTTTTGGCTGAAATCAGGAAAAAAAAGACAAATCAGTTCAGTTACAGCTGTAAATGCCAGAATATCTTCTGTCACCTTTTCCTCACTGAATGTGTTCCCCTCTTCTACTCACTCTGACTCAAAAATAAATCCATTCTACCCTTTTGTTTCATCCTGACTTTATTTCTTTACTGATCTCTTCTCTCCCACATCATTGTGGTATAGTCACATTATCATGACTAACAGGCTCTGAGCCTTGAGACGCTTCCTGTTGGTTGCTTCAAATCATAGGTGCAGGGAACTGATGCTTATTTATTCAGTTCAAATGCAACCTGGATAACAGAACTGAAAAAGTCAGTTTAGCAGATGATGTTTGCATTTTTCTCTCTCACCTGTCTTCCTTTTGTAAACAATGAATGCAATGGCAGTGATGAAGACGAGAGCAAGAACAGCCACTGCAGCAGTGATGAGGACGGTCACGTTTCCAGGCCTCTCTGTTGAACAAACAAACAAACAAACAAAACTTGTTTTGTAGGTTTCATCATTGCCCTTGTTCTGTATTAATTCTGAGTTCAGTAAAGAGTGGACAGGCAGCACAAAGCTGTCACTTGTGTGGTAAAGACAATGTGATGTATAAAATTCTTTCAAACTTTCTATGACTTTGTTAAGTCCTGTTAAGCTTACATGATCTGACCGGTGATCCTGGGTGAGAATGTGCATTGGTTTGATTACATTCTTTAACTGCCTTATTATTATTAGTTCTTAACTTCCCTCAGTCTTACCCCAGTTGGTCCTGATCACTGCTTTGTCCAGTTTGGTGATGATGTCATCCTTCACACCAGAGAGATGAAACACACAGTCGTACCTCCTCCAGTCTTCAGGTGGGACTGATGAAAGGTTCAGGTCAACACTCATCTGGAAGGTTCCATCATGATTGGGGAGGATCTCTCCGTGGTCCACGTCCTCATGAATCTCCTCTCCATCTTTCCTCCAGAACATCATGGCGCTATATGGGTAGAAACCTGTAGCGTGGCAGCTGACTGGAGAGGAGGGAGACTTCTGGAGGAGAGACACTGAGGGAAGGTCTGCAGAGAGAGAGAGAGTTTTTAAACACTCATTTATTCAAATAAAATTGTTCTTCATTTACAATAGTTGGTAACAAAGACAATGGGAGTCTGTCTGGGATAATACACATTTAATTTAGCTCTTGGCAGTGGGGCAGCGGTCATGCACTTATGGGAGATTTGGGGGTTTATAGCTGTCATTTGCCTCTCCTGATGGCGCGCCCCTGACTATGAGGCCTATAAACCCAGTACACTGCACACATATTCATACAGATGGAAACCAGATGGCATGGAGAACTACCAACATGCATCTGAAAATCCCCATTATTAAATCTTTTTTTTTCTTAGTAAAATGTTTCCCTAAAATAATGATGATGATAAGCCTGTTGAAGACAAAATTAATATTTTTTTGATTAATTAGCATTATTATNCTTTTTTTTCTTAGTAAAATGTTTCCCTAAAATAATGATGATGATAAGCCTGTTGAAGACAAAATTAATATTTTTTTTGATAAATTAGCATTATTATGAAATTTGAAAACCAACACAAATAAACAATAACAAATGGTTTGACAGCTATTTCAACAGCGGCTGGAGCCTATCACAGCTGACATTAGGCGAGATGCTGGGTACACCCTGAACAGGCCGTCAAACTATCACAGGGCTGACCACTAAATTTAAATTGGCTGTACTCTGACTTTTTAAAATAATTCTAGTACTTTCCCTGGCATATGGAATAAATAACATTTATTTATTATTATTTTAACCTGGAAAAGCTTTTTCAGGATAAAACACTTGGGCGTATTAGTTTTATCAATGACCAAAATGTTATGAATAAATGCCGGATTGGATTCCTACTAAACTCTCCTACAACAGAATACAAAAATACCCTCAACACACCTTTTCTAAGTCCCTCCTCTTTTCCTTCTGGGCTCCGATATCACGATAATTTATCGATAGTCCGAAAACATTCATTACATCTGTAAGAATATGTGTCACCCTGAACTAATGAATGTACGTTTCTACAATAAGGAGACTAACGTCAGGTTAGGACCATGGTCTGTACTCAGTAATAAATACATAGAGCACTTCACTGATCCTTTGACAGGGAAAAGGGGACAATTAGAATTAATCTTAAAATTCACACTCCAATTACAATCTGGCTAAAAATCTTCCAATTTGTTTTGGAACCAATAATTTTCTATGGTAGCCAGATTTTGGGACCAACATTTAATCATGAATTTGACAAATTGGACAAAACAAGTTCTGCAAAAACTCACTGCATGTCCAGTGAAAGAAACCAAATAATGCCTGTAGAGCAGTACCTCATACTGAAACTGCGAATGAGCAATTAAATTTTACAATCACCTGAAAAACAGTGACCCAGAACAATTCATATTCATTGTAATGTAACTGAATATCACAGACTGCAGTGTTTTTGTGTACATTGTTGTTCCATCATGAAACTATGTCAGGTCATGTGATTCTACCTGTTCTCAGCAGGACGCTCCTCCCAAAGTTCAGATGCTTCCTCAGCCATTCAGGACAAAACTGGGTGAGGTAATTCTTCCAAAGCTCATTTCTGGCTCTCTGTCTGTCCCAGAAGTGTTTGGTGATGACAGCTTGTGGTTTTGAAGCCACCCATGACTCTGTGTTTAAGTCAAATGTTAGGAAGTCTGCTCCATCATAACCATACTGTTGATACCCATGAACCCTTTCAGTCTCATCATCCCATTCACAACCATGCATTTTCTGTAGAATGTGGACACCTGAGAAAGACAGAGACGAAGACAAAAAACAGAGTGAGATCACAGCCCAGTCATCTATTATCAGTTGATATCACATGTTTACCACAGAGACACACTCAGACACCAGAACAGAGGATCTACACCTTCTGCTGTTACTGGCATGATGAAAGCCACTTACAGCCAATCACCATCTGGACAGTGTGGACGTCTTAGAGAGAGACACAGAGGCAGAGACTGCTGGAAACACAGTGACACCCTGACACATACTTTTTGAACCACAGAGACACACTGCCTCCACTGCGACTAACAGCCATTTGAATACTGATAATACTTATCTGATACTGTCAGGTGGGAAGGACACACTGTGGTCAGTACAGCAGAGTCGTGCTGTTAAACTCTTTGTGATCTGAATGAGACATTCACCTCGTCATCCTGTCAGCCAGCTTCATTAAAACACATTGCTACTCCACTCCTTTAGTAAACCAGGCAGAGTTTTATGGACCACTTTACTGTTGACAGTTCAGTAAAATTATTCTGATCTCATCTAGTGGAGATAAACTGTTAATGATCTCTGTTGGTTATTATGGGATGGACAGAAACACTGTATCAGTGTCGTATAGCAGAATCCAGTCGTCTCAGTCTCAGTAACGTTTGTGTATGACTGTGTATTCAGGAGAAACAATTACATACTTCCAGTTTGGTTTAAGCGCTGCTTCAAAATGTGGAATTCTTCTTTAAAGACTTGCTGGTACACCCTACACTCCTGTGTGTACAACTGCCAGTACTGTGGATCCTCTTCTTTTAATTTTTCCATCCAGTCCTGTTTGGCTAATGCTGTCTTGATTCTGCTGTCACAGTAACCCGCCTGAACATCATCAATCAGCATAACAGCCACAACCTCTGGGAAGTTGTGGGACTCTGGGACTCCAGAGGATGCAGTGAAGAAAACCTTCATAGAGTGCTTTGCTGGAAGACAAACAAGTTTTCAGTTTTTTTTTTTTTTAAATTACATGCACATATTTAATGCTAGAACATTATTACTACTAATCATAAGTTTGTTGAAAAACATTATTTGGATTTTAGTTCAATCAAAATGTGCCAAAAAAAGAAAATAAAACAGTAAGACCCTGTTTCTGTGTTTAATCATTTATTGGAAACTGTGCAAGATTCTAATAACTCCATAAGAAACCCAGCAGTTACAGGACACATCTCACTGTGTTATCACTAATGTATTCAGTATGATTCAGACAGTCTAGTCAAGTAGAAAGTGAAAGTGAAACTAAATTACAAACGTGCCCTGGAGACGAGCTTTTTTTATTCCTGGGATGGCGAGGGTATGACCCGCCCTACTCTGCCTCTGAATGGCTCATACTTATATTCTTACCCTTACTGTCACCAATCACAATCCTCATGCCTAAACCTAAGCAATGCAACCCTAGCCTTGCGTCACCAGGCTCTTCATATAAAGTGCCGTAGAAGGCAACGACTACGAGCCAATGAGAGAAGGAGTAGGGCGGGTCATGGCTTTGCCATCATAGGGAAAGGAATAGCGGTCCTGGAGCAAAATACTCTCTGTATTTGAAGTAAAGCGTTAAAATATGATCTTACCTGAAGATGAAACATGACAGAAGAGAAGCAACAAAAGTAACTTTATCATCTTGTTTTGATAAAGACTTGTGGGTAAAGGACCGAGCTGGTCCAACTGTTATGTCCTCTGTTCATGCAGTGCCTGTGGGAGTGTCTGCTCCGACTCAACTCAGTTAGGGACTGTACCAAACTTACTCTGGTGGGGAGGGGGGTGGAACTCCTGTTTCATTAAAAAAAAAAACAAAGCAAGACCATGTAGCATTAAACCATGTCAGACCATCAAGACCATGTGGTCAATTCTGTAAACACAAATACCAAAAAAGCATCTTAGGAATGTATGGGCAAATTAAAATAGGTATCTGATATTGGATACTTCTACTGTTATTATACACATATGATTATTGTCACATCTGTATACTATCATAATATATATATATATATATATATACATTCAACATATTGTACCACAAAGGCTGTAATTAGAATTATAATATTATTACTTTAATTAATGTTGTTGTAAGCTATTATCATTACAGTCTGTCCTGCATCTCTCTCTCTGTCTCATTGTGTCATATGGATTACTGTTAATTTATTATGTTGATCTGTTCTGTATGACATCTATTGCACGTCAGTCCGTCCTGGAAGAGGGATCCCTTCTCAGTTGCTCTTCCTGAGGTTTCTACCGATTTTTTCCCCGTTAAAGGTTTTTTTGGGGAGTTTTTCCTTATCCGCTGTGAGGGTCATAAGGACAGAGGGATGTCATATGCTGTAAAGCCCTCTGAGGCAAATTGTGATTTGTGATATTGGGCTTTATAAATAAAATTGATTGATTGATTGATTGATGTTTATAGCTATAATTAAATTAGTGCTGATACATTAACCTGTATATTCACATTTTGTTGTAGTTGTAGCATTATATAATAATGTACGTATATAGTGCTTGACATTTTATAACATCACATCCAAAATATATCATGGTATTACAGATTTTTTTGCATTAAAGTTTTTTATCTGATCTTCTCTTACAACATGTAATCCGTAAAGTAACAATGTATTAATGATAAAATGAAATAATAAAAAATACAATAGTTTCTTTGACACGTAGTGGAGCACAAATATAAAGTAACATATAATGGAAATGTCCAACTGTAGTACAAATACCTCAAAATTGTACTTGTGTGTAGTATTTAAGTAAATGTACTTTTATATTTTTTCACATTACATTTTCAGTTACCAACTACGCTATTCATTAACTCCGTAGATGAACTAATGCCATAACAAGATTATTAAGATGTTTCCACATTTTTATGGGTCAAAGGTGGAGTCCTCTATTGTCATCCGTCAATACAAAACTGTCAATCATTGTAAAAAATTCTGCTTCTCTTTTAATATTTATTTTGTTACTTCTGCTCATGAATCCATATCTAAATATTTTTTAATGTTAAGTGGCTGTTGTTGCAGATTCACTTAGGCTACTGTGGAAGCTGATAACACATTAACAAACACTGAGTGAATGAATGACTTTATTTTGAAACGAAACAAAACAAAACAAAACATAAAGAAATAAACAAGACAAGGATAGCAGCGCCTGAAAAGAAGTGGGTACAAGTAAAACTTATATGTCTCTTCCCCTTTCTTACATTTCTTCTTTTAACTCATATTATATCAACAATTTCCCAAATTTATTTACAACTATATAAAACTATCCCCAGTCAATTTACCACCCAATTAAACAAATAGGTAATAAACCCAGTTTATTTACATCCCAAGTACCACCCAGTGTTAAATAAATAAATAACACAAATAATGTTCAAAGCAAAAAACGATTTACTACCAGGAAACATTCAGGAATTGTTCAGTGAGCGAGAAAGGGGTTATAATCTAAGGGGTAAATCTAATACACTGCCATACGCACAACTAGGAAAAGTTTTTGTTTATCAATTTGTTGGGTGAGATTATGGAACAGCTTTACTGTGGAGTTGAAGGAATGCACAAATATGAAACAATTTAAAATAATGTACAAAAACATGGTGTTCACTAGGTACAGGGAGGAAGGAGGTATTGAAAATCACTAGGTGTCATATGGGTTACTGGTTATTTGGCTGTTTTCTGTGAATTGTCTGTGTTCTGTGTTATCTTGTTTATTTTGTTATGTGTATGTGTGTGGCATTCTAGAGATAACGAATTATCAAATGAATAACATATAAACATAAACAAATAACAATGTACTGTAAAATTACTAATATTAGTATTAGTTTCTAATGAATATTAGAAGATTAGTGGAGGTATATAGTAATGTATTTGTTACAAATATATTACGAGAATTATGAAGCTATTTAATAATACATTTAAAAAAAGTCATTTTGTATTGATATATAACTTAATCTATGACTGACATGGGATATTATATTTTCTGTAATTCAGGGGTGAGTATAGAAGTTTTACTACTTCTCACTCCTTTTCGAATATGTGCATTTATTTTTCACTCTGGCTATCATTTATTTATTTATTTTTTTCATGTTCATTTGTTGTTATGCTTCTGTTATACTTGCTTTCCTTGGTTTTATATTATTTGCATATATTCAAAATAATCTTATCAAAAATAAAAAATAAATAAATAAATAAAATAAATAAATAAATAAATATGCACTCTTACGCAACCTTTCCTCACAGATATGTCCAAAAATATTTTTGTATAGTTTTTAAAGATTATTTTTTGGGGGCTTTTGCCTTTAATAGACAGGACAGTGTGAAATGGGGAGAGAAAGAGTTGAGGAATGACATGCAGCAAAGGGTTGCAAGCCAGAGTCGAGCTCGCGACCGCTGCGGTGAGGCATCACCTCTATACATGGGGCGCCGGCGCTATCCACTAAGCTACCGACACCCCTTTCGTAGAGTTTTCAAAAATGTATTTCTATTTGTGCTTTGTTTCAACTCATCAAGCAGCCCATTCCACAAGTCCACCCCATACACTGAAATACAGACTCTTCTTAGTTGTACAAACACATTGTTTTTTAAAATTCACAATCATTAACAGATTAAAATGACTACAAACTCAAAAATGAATACAAATAAAAAGCAAAAAAAAAGCTCAACTACACACACACACACACACACACACACACACACACTTAAAGTGCAGTACTTCAGAAAACAACAGATTCTAAAAATAGGAATTCATAATAGCAACAACAACAACAATAAAAAAAATGTTACAACAGATAGAGAGATAACATAAATTTAAATACACATTAAGAGATTACAGAGCAACTGCAGAAGATGTAAGAGGCCGAACAGTTTCATTTTGTACAAGCAGGCCAGTAATATATATATTTTATGTACAAGCACTAGGAATTAGTATTTTGTTTTATGATACACTGGAGAGACAAGAGTATAGCTGGGGTTCACTCCAGAGTCTTCAACAGTGTGTTTCTAGAGTGGAAACTTTACACAGAAGTCAGCTCAAGGGTTGGACTTCCTACTGATCACCATCAAAGACAGATGACTGCCTAGTACCTAATGATATAGACTAGATAAAGTCCAATACTAATAAGTGTTCCAGAGAGAGTCTGCAGGAACAGCTGGACAGTAGCATCACTTCTCTCCAGATGTTGATAGGAGAGGATTTTTCTCCACAGGTGTGCTTCTGTTAGCTCTGACTGTCACTTCAATGATCTTGTTTGTAGTGTAAATCAGTTCATGCTTGGCAGTCTGACTTATCCTGTAGGGGTATAGGGGGACAAATTATATACCGTAAAACTTAAATTAAAAGCTAATGGTGCGTTCCAGGCAGGCTTTTGAACTTGTAAGTCACGACTTCAAGTCACGAGTTACGACTTTGTAGTGTTCCAGGAAAGTTACGGCAAACTGCCAGTTACTTCCTGTTTAACGTTGAACATGGCGAACCGTTTGTTTGTGCTTCCCCATTATTTCTATCGCCAAAGGTGCCTGCTCCTTGCTCATTTGAGTGAAACGGAGGAGGAGAAACGGCGCATAAGATCACAGATGCTATTATACTTTTTATTTTACGTTATCTGTGTTTGGAAACGTATTTTGTATTGATTATTCTTGCACTGGAAACCAGCTGTTAGAACGGCTGCCAATAATGCGTTAACATTAGGTTTATTTTATGTCTATTTCTCACCATGTAAGTTATCACCTGCAGCAACACCGCATCCATGGGGCTGCCATTGTTGTATAGAGGAATAAGGTAATTGGTTTAGAGGGCTGTGTGACGTCAGAAAGCGTAACTGGGAGTACATCGATCTGGTACGAGTTCACGGGGGGGAAGTTAGAGGTTTGACTGCTGTTCCAGTGCACTTTCACGGGTTACGGGTTGTGAAAACACGAGTTACGGGTTGCCTGGAACGCACCATTAGTCCCAGCACCCAGTCCTTTTCACTAGCCCAGTGTGACTACACATTTTGACAAAAGCCTGTCTCAATTAGAGGCCTGGTCTGGTTGCCAAGCAGTTCATTTTTTAATAGATGCTCTTTGGATGTATACAACTGGGTTGTTGGCTACCTCAAATTATGTGTCCATTCCTCAATTAACCTGTAAGTTATTCATATTCCTTTAGTCCTAAGGGTCCTCAGACCAAAAGAATCAAAAGGGTTTTCATACAAATGAATGCAAGTGGTGAGTATTGTTTTAACAGAACAAAGTGGTATTGTGTTGGTATGCTGGGTGTCGGAATCCAGATAATCTTGAGCCAGATCCTCTTAATCTAACTGCCCATTTAATCAGTCCACATTTAGCTCACATTTTTAACCAAATCTTTTTAACTGGCATCATTCCACCTTCTTGGAAAAGCGCATTTGTATCTCCCCTACATAAAAATGGTGACATCTCTGACCTCAATAATTACTGTCCAATATCCAAACAGCACAATTACAGCTGCAGTTTCAGTCATAGATAAAATTGTCTCCTCCCTGGATAATAAACAGTTTTGTGCTGCTCTTTTCATTGACCTCTCAAAAGTAGTAGCCATTAGAGAATAATCGGCCAAAAGTTGGCCGATTGACGCCGATTTTACCACTTATATTTTCATCACTAAAAAAAATGCAGGGAATATGGTGTTTTACTTATTTTATTTCCCGGAGGTTTACTGCCTTTTTGCACTACATATTTTTGATTTATTTTATGTTTGAATTGTTT